CGATTCCGGTCAAGGGCATGTACCTTTGTTGCGGGCACATCCCCAGTAGCGGATGTGCAGGAGGCAGCTGATCGATGTTTCTAACTCTCTATCCCTCTCCCTTCCTCTCTGTAAAAAATCAATAAAAATATTTTTTTTTTAAAAAAGAATGTGGCCCAATTAAAAAAAATAACATAAAATATTGAGCATATCTTCTCCTAACCCTCCCCTACCTTTTAAAAAAGCATCAACCTATAGTTTTAATGTTGCCAGCAACTTTTTTATGTGTGATGTAGGCTCAGTCCTGATATTTATTTATTTATTTATTTATTTATTTATTTATTGCCTCAAAGTAATGAGTTACCTGTGCAACCTGCTAGGTGACACTATACTTGGCAAAACCACCGTTTGTTTCTAGAACTACGTTTATTGCTTCGATCCCTTTACTCACACAGTAACCTTAGCTACCACATAGGAAGAAAGAGTAGGGACACGGTGATACATTTTAAAATCTCATTTAAGATTTTTTTAGCATTTAAAAAATTTAGGTATAATTTGCATAACTATGAAATGTACCCATTTTAACTGTATTCAGGGATGGATTTTAGTAAATTTATATAGTTGTGTGTCTAATGTTTCTTATACATCTTTCTTTAGCATCACCACCACCCAGTTTTAGAACAAAATCTGTCGGTCCCCAAGTTCTTTTGTGTCTAATTCCCACTTCTGTTCTGTGACCCAACACACCACCCATCTGTTTTCTATCTGTATAGTTTTACTTTTTTTTAGAAATTAGAAGTAAGTAGAGTCATACAGTATGTAATCTTGGTGTCTGGCTTCTTTCAGTTAACAGTGTTTTTATTCATGTTGTTGCATTATCAGCAATCCATTCTTTTTATTGTTGAGTGGTATTGCATTGTATGAATGTACTACGTTCCAGTTGATGTACGTTTGAATTGTTTCCAGGGTTTGGCTGTTATGAACAAAACTGTCTAGGAACATTCATTACAACTCTGTGTGTGGTCATCTGTCCCCAGAGAAATGAAAACACACCTTAGGGTGAAATTGTTGGATTATGTGATAAGAAATTTCCAAACTGTTTTCCAAAATGGCCATCCTGTTATACTTCCCCGCCAGTGAGGGAGGTGATGTGAGGGTTGTTGTTTCTTCATATCCTTATCATCACTTTAGATATTTTTATGGAATTCCTAGGCTATTTTGTTTGGTTTTAATATCCATTATCCTGATGATTAATGGTATTTAGTACTTTTTTGTGTACTTTCCCCATTGTGTGTATATATATATTTTATTGATTTCAGAGCGAAAGGGAGAGGGAGAGATAGAAACATCAATGATGAGAGACAATCATTGATTGGCTACCTCCTGCACACCCACTACGGGGGGTTGAGTCCACAACCCGGGCATGTGCCCTTGTCCAGAATTGAACCTAGGACCCTTCAGTCCTCAGGCTGATGCTCTATCCATTGAGCCAAACTGGCTAGGGCACCATTATATATCTTCTATGATATATATAAAATATCTTTAAATATTTTGCCCATTTCTAAAAGGTTGAATTGTTTTATTATTGAGTTGTACGAATCTTTCATATATTCTAGATAGACATCCTTCAACAGTTAATTATCTAGCTCTTTATATACTCCAGACACATGTACTTACTTTATCAGATAATTATTTTGCCAATACTTTCTCCCAGTCTGTGACTTGTAGTTTTATTTTTAAAATTGTCTTTTGAAGAGCAAACATCTTAATTTTAATGGAGTTCAAGTTATTTTCTTTTATGGTTGTTCTTTTTATGTTTTTTTCTTTTATATATTTGATGTCATATCTAAAAACTTCTTGCCTAATCCACAATAATTTGTCTTCGAGTACTTTCTTCTACAAGCTTTTTAGTTTGGGTTATTAACTTAGATCTATGATCCTATTTTTAAAAAAATATATTTTATTGATTTTTTTACAGAGAGGAAGGGAGAGGGATAGAGAGTTAGAAACATCGATGAGAGAGAAACATCGATCGGCTGCCTCTTGCACACCCCCCACTGGGATGTGCCCATAACCAAGGTACATGCCCTTGACCGGAATCAAACATGGGACCCTTCAGTCAGAAGGCCGGCACTCTATCCACTGAGCCAAACTGGTTAGGGCTGATCCTATTCATTTTGAGTTAATTTTTGTACCTGGTGAAAGGTAAAGGTCGAGGCTCTTTTTTTCACCTTTCCTCCATATGCATAACCGGTTTTGAGCACCATTTATTGAAGGCTGTCTTTTCCTTATTGAAGTAACTTGCCATCCTTGTTGAATATGAATTGGTATAAATGCATAGCCCCGTTTTTGGACTCTGTTCTCTTCTGTTATTTATCCTTATGCCCCGCCCCCATTGTTTTGATTATTGTAACTATAGTAAGTCTTGAAATCAGGTAACGTCTTTCAACTTTTGATATAGTTTTAAAGTAGCTTCGGTTTAAAAATTTCCCATATTTTTGTGTCTCTCTGGAGGATTATGAGCTGATAAAGGGACGACATCCCATCAAAATCAGTTCTACTTGGGGTTGGTAGGCCTGAAGCTTCCATTTTTCATCGCTTTATTGGGTTACCTGTCTTTACTAGCAGCATTTGATAGGTTCAGACGTGGCAGGATCATAATTATAAAGCCTACTATGTACCAGGTGCTTTATGTAATTATCGCATTTGATACTTCCCAGGTGTTGCAAAGAGGACATCATTATCCTGATTTTATAAATAAGTCCACAGTGTCATTTCCTTAGGTCACTTACCTCAGCTGCTGCTAGTGATGCTATATTCACAGCAGCAGTGTTTACATGATAAAGCTAGAGTTTGAACAAAAACCTGGTCTATCTGATGATGCTTAATCCCGGGCTCTTCCAACTATTCATGCAGAGAGGAGGTATATATCTTTTTAGTACAGTGGAAACAGCCGTAGTCACAGGGGAAAGATGACAGGCATCCCTCCGCCTTTCCTCTGTCTTTGCCAGGCCTGGGGCAGCCCCCTCTTCCTCCCTTGAAATGCATTCCTGAAAGAGCTTTGTGAAAACTGTCAGGACTGGTGGAAGAATAGAGGATGTTAATTTATTATAAAGTTCTTCTCGCCTGTACTACTGTTTTAATGGCTATTATATTCCCTAGTAACTTATAAAATATTTTGTAATTCTATGTTGAAGTATTTTATTAATTTCTTTTGTTTAAAATGTTACTCCAAGATATTATTATATTATACTGTGGAAATTATCCACATCTTCATATGTCTTTTATCTTCATATGTCTCTTCTATATCTTTCTTTAGCATGGGTGCTTTGGTAGTTTTTCCTCATATTAGCATATTAATTAAAAACTCATTTAATAGTACAGATCAAGTAGTAATAATTTAATACCATCATTTCTGCTAATATCACAAGTTTTAGCTCTTGATTGTTGCATGGTGTGATGTCCTTGAGCAAATTAGTTGTTGGTATAGAATTATAATAGGCTTACGTAGGCCAGCATAACGAATACATTAACCCTAGCAGAGCTGGAAAGAATTGATGGCTTCTATTACGTAACATGTTAGTGCACACTACTGACTGCCTGCCACATGAGAATCCATTCGTTTTACTTACTGTGCTAACTTCTTATTTGCATACAGATTTCCTTTTGTTTTTCATGAATCATCTCTGACTAATACCCTAGCTGCATTTCATTACTTATAATGATCTCCAGGCTGATCAGGTCCTGGTGAAAATCAAAATGCACTTTTTCTCTTTCTTCTTTAGACCTATTAGATTATGAAATCAGATGTTTCCAGTGCCCTAGAAAAATGTTAATTTGGATATTAAATTAGCATTAGCTCTTTTCTACTATTATGTTCTATTTATTCTAAATAGTAAAGGGCTCTTATAGAGTTAATACTGTTTTAAGTTTGATAATTAATCAAAGTGTCATTTATTACTGATTGGTGTCGTCTGACAATAAAAAAATCTAGTAGCTCAATTGTAAAAACATTCCTTGCAGCTGTTAAATCTAGTAGCACATAATGGTTAAAAAAGACATACTTCTACTAGTAGCAATCAAACCATTTTTCTCTGGTCCATAAAATACACAAAAATAGTCAACATTAATACACATAAAATAACATAAGCACATATTTGTTGTGTTTGTATTCCTCACTGTGCAGTGAAAAGTGATTCCTGCATAGATCCCAGGAAATGCCCCAGGGCCCTTCCATGTTAAGCTCTTTGTCCTCAAGACACACACCCAGAAGAAACTTGGGGAGAAGCTGCCTTGAGTATTGAAAATGTTCTTCCTTTTCTTGTCCACATTTGTCTTGCAGTTTGTTATGAATGTCTTATATAGGCATCATTTTTATATCATTTTACTCAAGACTTTCATTTTTGAGAAATTATTCAGTCACTTTTTTAAAAGTATTTTTTATTGTTGATAGTGTTACAGATACCTCCCATTCCCCACCCCCCCACCCCGCCTTTACCCCTGACTCTTATTCAGTCACCTTTGAACTTCTTTAAACAATGATGACATAGAGCTTTATTTTAATAATTTCAAACCTTTCAATTCCATATAGGTAAAGCAGAAACCACAGCAAGTGAAGACAACTATGTGAAGTTTACTTATTTATTCAGCAAACATTTACTGCACATTGTGTTATGGTGTGCTGGGCCCTGGGCTAGCCCAGCAGTGCAAGGTGCATGGCGTAGCTCGGCCTCCTCTGCTTCTACCAGAGCCAGTGATGAGTCAGGCAGCTACAGGAAAGTGTAGTAAGTGTGTGGCGGGCTCTCAAGATTGGTAGGGTAGACACCTGATAATTTATGAACTGTGACCTTACTTATTTTATATTATCCTGTGCAAATAGAAGTAATGCAGCAAGTCTACTTCTTGGTTTTACCATGCAGTTTAATGAAAAGGTGTTATTAAATGAGTGTTACTTATATGTTGCTTGTAAAGATCACAAGATTCTACATTTTTTAATTCATGTTTGTTTGTTTATATTACAGATTTCTCTTGGATTTGGCCACAGATTTATAGATCTTCTGCACTGTATACAGGTACAGGTGAGTTAAAATTAAGCCTTTCTGTTGGATTATTTTGATTTTTAAGTAATATTCAGTGTTTAAAAATTATCCTATTTATAGTTTAGCAAAATAATATGTAAATAAAATGAATATGACAACATAAAGAAATTGTTATAAAAATATTGTCTCCATTTCTGTTGTATTATTATGTGTTGAAAATGACATTTGAAGGTAGAACAACCATATCTATTTATCAGTGCTTACTGTGTATATTTGGGAAGATTACATATAAATTTCATAGCCTGGCAAATGTTTATTTTTATATGTAAATAAAAGAATAGCTGCTAGAGATTTTGGCAGCAAATTTCAGTTTTATGGGGTAGATGTTTTAAATTTGATGAGCAGGCTTTTCTAGTTCAACCAGCCTGAAATAGCTTCTCGATCACTCCTTATCACACAATCTCTTTATTTTTGTCATAATATTTTATTATTTATAGTCTCCCCTGCTAGAATATAAGCTCCTTAAACATTGGGACCATTTTTGTCTACTTAAACATGTAGGTATTTAAGAAAGATTCGTATATAGGAAAGACTGAGGAAATATTTGCTAAATAATTATTGGGCAATAAATAGTAGGCATTTATTCATATTCAGTGTCCCTGAGCTCTGTATCTGTAAATACAAACCAGAACTAGTTCCTTATACTTATTTCTAAATGTGAAATTAATTTATATCAGCTACTTAAAGATTATATACTGGTAGCTCTTAAATTGCCTGTGTTGCATATTTTATGTACTCAGATATGCTTAATCAGGGTAGATTTCAGAGGGTAATGCTTCCAATTGTGTATTTATTTTGTCACTATCCTTGAAGCTTCTTTTGATGAAGTAAGGGACAAACCTGAAGCTGGTGTGGGGCCTCCCCACCTCCTTGCTAAATTATGCTGCCATATTAGATATGTTTTGTGATAAGTTATATAAAGAACAATGTGAAGTGGGTCTGAAAATTGGACAGTTTTAATCTCTGAAAACCAAATAAGTTAAGATTTTTCCACTACCTGTCACTGGATATAAAATGTAACTATTGGTTTTCTGTTTTTAGTTTGGGAAATTTTTCTGTCCTCCGTATTGATGCTTGAATTCATTGTGAAAGAAAGCTGTAGGCAGGAGCTGACCATCCTCTTCCTGTGCCCTTGGCAGTTTTCTTTACATGTTCTCGGATATTGGCTTCCTGTCTCGTTTTCTTGTATTTTTTATTTTTTATCTCTTTTGCTTTCTTTAGGCCTTAGTTTCTCCTTCTGCTACCATGGTTTTTTTTTTCATTTATAGAAGTAACTAATTCTGACCTTTAGGGTTTTTGTGTTATTTTTTTAAGTAAAATTTTGGAATTATCCAGCCATTTCTCATTCACACCTAATTTACAATTGCAATTTGCTGAGATTGCTTTGGTAATACTAACAGCAGCAGCTGTAACTTACTGCTCTTCCACTGTGTGCCAGGTATTATGTAAGTGCTTTTCAGTTATCTTCAGAATAGCAGATAAGGAAATTGAAGCTTAGAGAGGTTAAGTGACTTTTCCAAGGTCATATCAAGTAAGTGGCAGTTTGCCACTCCAAAGACCTTGATCTTAACCACCGAGCTCCATTTTCCTTCTAAATAGCCTGGAATATACACATTTTTTTTTTTTTGGTGGCAATAAGTGTAATATAGGAAAACCATATTTATATTTGAGGACTTCAAAATTAATTTAAAAGTCAAACATTATTTTGCTTATATTTCATTAGCAGGCCTCAACTTTTAACCTTTATTTCAAACTGTGAAACATGACGACTCATTTGAAGTTTAATGATGACCAGCACAATTTAAACTTGCACCTGCACTTTCATGTCATACTTACTTTTGCGGGGCAGGCCCATGGCGGAGCCATTGGATTCCTTTCTCCATTGTAAGCGTGGTTTGCCATGAATCGGCATTCCTCCTTTTTTCCTGTGAGCGGGGCACGCCATGAATCAGCATTCTTCATCCCCTGCAGTATCAGAAAGTTTAGGTTACAGTGGCATCTGTGGTTTGTTACACTTTTCCTACAGAAAACAAGTTGTGTGAAATACAGTGACTATATAATTACTTAGAACCCTTATCTTGGAATGTGTAATAATTTATATCTTGGGGAACTTTTTTTAATAATTTAAGAATAAGGTGCCATCGCTTTGAAGTAAAGCAGAATTGCCTCAAAAAGAACTTCAGCTTTCCACATTTAGTTTATTTTCAAGGCTGAGGAGGACATATTACATAAAAATATCTGTTCTTAAACCTATAATATTGCGGACAAAGTATTTTCGAAGGCAGCGTTGTTGAATGCATCTGAAAGTTTTTATTTGAAAATATGATTAACTATACTTCCTCACACTTTCCAAAAGGATTGTATCTATGAGTGTAAATGCAAATTCCAGATTTGAGTATATGGGAAGGGGCTTCTGTAGTTTGAATTAAAAAGAAAAAATTTATTTAACAGACCAAATCATGCTTCTTAATCTATAGCTACATCAGTATTTCCATTCCAGTCTCACATTTTAAGCATTTTTAAAGTTAGCCAATAAACTTTTCTTAGAATTGATAGTCAAAACAGGAGCAAGCGTTAGATAAATGTTTGACAATGTAGCCTTGAAATGTGATTTTTCCCCTTCACTATGGAAAACTGAATTCACCGTGGATTCATATATACTTTGAGTTTATAAGTTTACTTTCTGTACACTGGAAGATTTGGGGTGGAGGAAGAATTGTACACACATACTAGGTAGAGCCCAGCACTAACTTATGCAGAGCGAAGTTCGCCAAAGTACAACAGAGCATAATATACTTCTTGTGATGCTAGTACATTTTGTTGTTATATACTAAATACCAAAAATCATATTAACCATATGAAAGACAGAAGAAATTATGTCTATATTGGACCTGACATGGTTGTAAGTACATTTGAAATGAATATTTGTTGTATTTTGTATTTTGTTTTTTGTTTTTCTTCGGCCGGGTGGGGGGGGGGGCGGCGCATGGCAGCGATGGCAAGGCAGTCCCAGGGCACACCTGCAACAGCAGCAACCCACCGACCCTAAAATAGTTGTTGTATTTTGAATCCCCAGGCGGCTTGATTTGAGCTACAGATCTGAGGCTTTGAGCACTGTCCACTGAAAATCAGTGTTGATCTACTAAAAAATTACAATATTTACATGTCTCTTTTGCTTTAAGCTTTAGGCAAAATCTGCTGACATTTAATTATATTGCTAATTTTTTTCAAATGTCCACATGGTAGGCTCTCATGGGGAAATAACAGATATTTTAACAGTTGGCCAAACCCCCTGTTGTTTAACTCGTCAAACTAGAATCCCAATCCTACTCCCCCTGTGCAGACTTCTCTGCTCTTCGCTGGTGGATGGGCTGCTGGACTCAGAACCAAAGAAGCTTCCTGGTGGGTTGAAATTATCCCCAATGAGTGTTACTGACCCAAAGCCATCAGTTGGAAACTATTTGTATGACAGGCCAGTTTTTAAAGCACTTTTACTATTCTGTTTTCCTCCCTTTTTTATGTACACATTAGTGTAAACAGATTGACCTAGTTTTCACCACAAAGGGAAATATATTCAGCACCATTGACCCTCCTTTCACTTTCCTCCTTCCGTTTACCCTCAAGTCATCCCTTTTTCTTTCTGACTCTCCTTCCTTTGAGAAATGGTATATAATAAAAGCCTAATATGCAAATTGTCCCCTTGGGCGGGAGTTCCACCGACCGGGAGTTCAACCGCTTGCTATGATGTACACTTACCACCAGGGGGCGGCGCAGAACAAAAGAAGGCCCCAGCTGGCAGCTGGGGGAAGGAGGGCCCCAACCAGTAGCCGGAAGGCCCTGATCGGCCCTGATTGCCAGCCAGGCCTAGGGACCCTACCCGTGCACTAATTTCGTGCACTGGGCCTCTAGTATTTATTATATTGTGTTAGCCTATGCTGAAGCTTGTGGGAAATATACAGAATAATTACCAAAAATTATAAACTGGAAGGAGTAGTAATGAAAGTTTTGTTCCGTATTTCCCTTGCTCAGTATTTTTATACTGAAACTTGGCTTTCTGATTTTGAAAGAAAAAAAAATGAGCATTGATTTCTAAATTATACATCTGTTCCTACTAATCTATTTCATACAAGTGGAGATTAAGGCAATAAGAAAAGCTGTCTGTTGTAAATAAATGTTTCCACAGGTACCCACGAGCAGTGATGTTAGTGAGCATAGTGCATTGCTGAACAGTATATCAGAAATATGGGAGAACCTGCTTTTTCTGGTTAATCCAAATTCTGGAACAGCAAAATTTAGATTTACAGACAGCAATAAAAACCACTTTTTAAAATAAAATCTATGAGGATGCTTCTTGGATTATAAAAGTTGAGTTTCAGTTGAGAGCTATTTTTCTTTGAAATCACCATTTGTTTCTTTAATTAGAAGTTTCTAAGTGTGACTTCTCTGTTGGCATAGCTGATATTCTTTGGAAATAATTAAAATGAAAACCATTACCAGTCTATACCTTGTATAGGTCTTCTGAATTAGCGTGTCTTTGAGGAGGTATTGCTGGGACAGAGTGGGCTCTGTCTTCTCAGCCCCATTCTTGTGCTCCGGAGGACAGGTGTATGTGTGCATGGGAGTGTCAAGGGGGCGTGTTTGAACATTAAGAGAATGTGTGTTCTCCTGCTTTCTTGTTAGTGGCCTTTGGATTTCGGTTCAAACTTGTGTATTCGACTCATCTGGATAGTAGAGTTGCTAGCTTTAAGGAGAAGGTCTCTGATGAGCAGAATTTCACATAAGTGACACTATAGAAACTTTAGAAATATATGGCATTTGATCTGGGGTCAATTAGTAGGATTTTTAACTATCCCATTCACTTTCACTCTGGAAGGAAAGTGGCAGAATGTATATGTTATTTTCTAGGCAGGTGTTGAATTTGAGTCTGCTGACCTTGCCAGAATCCCCTTACAGTTAAAATAGCAAATAAAATCAGGCTG